TGATTTTGATCAATTGGATTGAGGGTCACACAAAATTTGAAAATCGAGTATTATGGTGTAGAACTTGTAAGTGGAAGGACCAGTTATGCAATTAATGAGGACTTGAAATGAATTAGCAATTGAAGAGTACTAATTTCCAAGCAAATGTAAGTCATCGCAAGGGCTAAATTGCGGTGTGGTCGTACACTTTATGCGAGGGCAAGTTCTAGATTAATTGGGTTTCTTACTTCTATTCAATTTCTACATATGATATTTGAGACTCGTTTGAGCTATTTTAAACTCTTAAATAGTTTGTCTTTATTTTTTATTTTTGGAACATAATTTTAGGGATAAAAATACGTTGCAATTCAAGATCTAAAAGCAAAATCAAGGGTTTTGAAGAATTGGGTGTGGAGTATAAAATTCTTGGTCTAAGATCATATTCTTTTCTTCATCTTTATTTCAAAATTGAGTTCTATTCTTTATTGGGCCCAAGAACAAATGGCCTAACTTCATAAAAAAAGAAAAAAAAGAAAAAAGTAAAGGGATGGGCTGACTGGCCAACCCAATTAAAAAAAGGTGATGGCCTAACGGCCCAATCTTATAACAAAAAAAAAAGAGGAAAGAACCAGCCCCCACCCCAGCAGCAGAAAGCCAGAAAAGAAGAAAACTGGAGAAGACGAACAGCGCTGCCCGCCTATCATCTTCTTCCCAAAAATTCTTCCAACGGAACCCAGCACGCCACTGCCTGTGTAGTCTGACCCGGAGGTTAACAATTCTATAGCAATCAAATGTTTGCCCAAGTGCGAGAATGCTAGAATAATTCTATTATGTGGGCTTCCATTTGATTGCGAATTTTACGGGTTAAATGTATGGTTTGCAATGATATTGTGACTTGGCCCAATATGTTAGTAATCACTTGAGCCGTTGTACACCTTACATGCTTTATTATTATAATGTGGTAATTTTAAGTATGTGGACCGAAATTAAATAAACCCTAGTTAGGGTTAGAGTCGGTAATGAGCCGACTTTATAATTTCATATATAATGGCTAGGTCCCTCTCCTCTCCATATCGTATAGGCTTGTCCTATTGACGGCTAATTATTTTGAGCAGCAAAGAGAGGAAGATCTAGCTGGTAATATTTATACATAATAATGTTTTTCGCAGGTATGAATTTCGAACTATCAATTATAATATGCGATTATTATTCTTAGCATGATTATTGACTAATTACAGCAGTTATTTCAAACTGGAATTGACATACAAGAACTAGGACCAAGCTTGGCATTACAAGAGCGAGGAAAAGAATAGCCTGCCTTCAGCCATTCATTTATACATGTGTCTGCTTGTGAAACCAGTTTAAAGGATATGGCAGGTACTTACTACTTGGCCACTCTATATAATCAATAGTATTTGATCTAATAGGGGGTGAAGCAGGGAGTGAAGAGAGTATAAATCTTACCTCCATGAGCATTTCATTGAGCAAATTGCGATGGCTAGTTTTCCAAGACTGCATGCTTCACCTAGCTAATTATATTCTCACTTCCACTTTTATCCAACGATAAACAGCACAATAAGCTGTTAGAATCTGAATACTGAAAACGAAATTCAAAAAAAGAAATGGGTTCCACCATAAGTAACAAGTACCACTGAATTCCAGAGTTCCGCATTGTTATGGAAGGCCTCCCTTGTAGATTTATGAGCCACATTGAGCACCCTCTCCTTATAAGCCAATTTGAAGGGTGAGTTCAATCCAAGAGTTCGTGACAGTGGTATCTTCCAAATTTTATAGTGCAGTCACAGTAGTATTAGAAGTATAGTACTGTATCATGGATAACATTCAGCTATGTGTTAAACCATAAATGAACTGGCAAGCAAACTATAGACCAATACGACAAAAATATGTGCATACTGGCTATGCTTTCCCCATTTTGGGCATTTTTACATCCAGATGTTTTCAAACATATAAAAAAACATGGATATTGAGATACTGATAATATACTTATCATACACAAACACATCAGCATGTGTGTCAAGTACAAAAAGATCCTACTTGTGATCACTCTCACTATGATTAAATTAGCCAAAAACGTGGTCTCTGCTAGATTGTTACCTCCGAACTGAGTGATCATTCTGTGAAGCACCATTGTTGGGAGAATCTTCCCTTTGTCTTATTCTTGGGATAATGAGAGGTTTGCAACAGAGAAGAGTAAAAAGCAGCTCCATTGTAAAGAGAGTCAAGCTAATCCATACAGTTAATGTTTTCTTCCAATACCATACGAGTTTTTACAGCAAAGGAAGTTCTAACTCCAGGGATACAGATGCTTCATATATTTCAGGAATAACAGCACCAAGAAGGAATCCGGCTCGTTGCTCAATAATCACCTTTAAGCAGGCAGTTGGCATGGCACCTTCAATAAATCCTCTGAGGTTTATGTTCAATTTCTGGGATTCTGATGTATAACCAGCTAAAATAGGAGCAACTTTTAGAAAAGTCATCAAAAGGTGGATAGGTAGGCTTCTAAATTGCAACATGCATGGACGCCTTAAGCTTGCAAGAGTTCTACCATCGGCAGCTAGGAAATCTACTCTAACCTTCAGTGGAGAAGGAAAAACCAATAAACTATTGAATAATTAAAAACATGTATCCAACCAATTCAACAAGGACTTATTCCTACATCTAGCATGCCCTGATGTTACATCAAACTACTTCCTATCGAGCATTATATCCTCAAAATGGCAAAAAAAAAACAGTTAATGCCTCATAAATGTTGGAATTTTGTATGGGAAATTGGTTGTGACCAATTGAAATGATTTAAGTGGAAATTCTTTGTTTGGTGAATGAGAAATGAAGCCAAACTTAAAATGCTTGAAAT